AGTGCACACATCTGTGAGTGGATGGCTTAAACCAAGACCGAACACTTATTTCACACATTTTCTGCGGCTAAGAAATTTGCAAGCATCTTGACTGGGTGATTTCAAGTTAGAGTCTTGAGCCAGGGTTATCAATTAGAGCTACAGCCATCTCAAGGCTTGACTAGGCACGGAGAACTCACTTCTAAGATGATTCACTCTCATGGCTGTTGGATAGATGTCTCATTTCCTTACCATGTTAGCTCCACCATAAAGTTGTTTGAATATCAGACACTCAAATGAATGACGTTGTAATTGACTTCCTCCAGGGCAAAAAAGAATGGCAGAAGGCACAGTTGTTTTTTTTTACCTTGTCTCAGAAGTCACACTTTGTTGTATTTACAGTAAGAGTTTTGAACATACCATGGCCTGCCAGGAGAATGAACAGGTTTGTCCTCAAGAGGGAGAAACCAGGCTGCTCCCCGGAGGCAAGGATTTTGAGGCTCTGTCTCATCTACTTTGGGCATGTGGCCAGGAAGGACTAGTCTTTGGAGAAGGACATCATGTTTGGAAGGGTCGAGGGACAGTACAGGAGAGAAAGACACAGGATGAGATGGATTGACTCAATGGCTGGAGAAATGGGGTTAAGTCTGTCAGAGATGATGAGAATTGGCTCAGGACAGGGCACACTTCAGAGTTGATATACATAGGGTCCCTGTGAGTGATAGGCAACTTGATGGCGCATAGCAACAACAACATCAGATCCACAAGTCTGTACTTTTCAGTCTGAGTGGGAAGGTTGTAGGGCCATCTTGGAAGCTGGTACCACACATTCCCAAATTTGACTTTGATGTTTGCCCCTGGTTGGATTCAGGTTAGTTGTTTTAGGGAGCTCCGGTAGCCTAGTGTTTAGGGAGTCACACTGTTAACCCCTAGATGGTGTCTGTCTGTTAGTTTGAATCTACCAGTCCATTCTTGGGAGGCTGATGGGCAGGTCCCTTCTGCGTGACTGACATCCTTGGAAACACAGTGGAGGGTCATTAGTGAATGAATTCTGACTCAATGGCAAAGAAAGAGGGATTGATTTTAAGAAGGATCCTTACCATCAAAGGGATCTTGTCTCTTTTTTTTTAGTACATTAGGTCAAGAGGCACATAATGTATATTTATCCTATTACGGGTGTTAAGAGTTTGTTCTATTTACAACTATAGAACAATCTCACTGATTTCACATGCAAGCAAGATTTTACTGAAGATGATCCAAAAATGACTGGAACAGCACATCAACAGAGAACTACCAGAAGTCCAGCCTGGGTTTAGAAGGGGTCGTGGTACTAGGGATATTGTAGCTGATGTTAGATGGATCTTAGCTAAAAACAGAGAATACCAGAGGGATGTCTATCTGTGTTTCATTGACTATGCAAAGGCATTTGACTGTGTGGATCATAACAAACTGTGGCTGACTCTGAGAAGAATGGGAATCCCAGAACACTTGATTGTTCTAATGCGAAACCTATACTTGGACCAGGAGGCAGTTGTCAGAACAGAGCAAGGGAACACTGCATGGTTCAAAATTGGGAAGGGCATATGCCAGAGATGCATCCTATCTCCATACCTTTTCAACCTATATGCAGAACAGATTATCTGGGAGGCTGGGCTCTATGAGGAGAAATGTGGGGTCAAGATTGGTGGAAGATCTATCAACAATCTGCGTTATGCGGATGACACAACCCTGCTTGCTGAAACTGAAGAGGACCTGAAGCGCCTGCTGCAGAGTGTCAAGGACTGCAGCCTCCAATATGGATTGAGGCTCAATGTCAAGAAGACAAAGATTCTCACCACAGGACCAACTGGCAGCATCAGGATGGATGGTGAAGAGATTGAGATTGTACACAGCTTTAGTTTGCTTGCCTCCACAGTCAACACTCTTGGCACCAGTAGCCAGGAAATTAAAAGGCGCATTGCCATGGGAAAGCCTGCTGTTAGGGACCTCTCCAATGTACTGAAGAGCAATGGTGTCTCTCTGGAGACTAAGGTACTAAGGTGCGTTTGATACAGGCCATGGTCTTCGCAATCACTTGTTATGCATCAGAGAGTTGGACAATGACCAAAGAGGATAGAAGGAGAATTGATGCCTTTGAGCTGTGGTGCTGGAGAAGAGTATTGAGAATACCATGGACTGCTAGGAAAACAAACAGATTTGTCCTGGAAAGGGTTAAACTGGGTGGCTCCTTGGAGGCAAGGATTCTGAGGCTCCGTCTAACATACTTTGGACATGTTGTGAGGAAAGACCGGTCCTTGGAGAAAGACATCATGCTTGGGAGGGTGGAGGGACGGCACAGGAGGGGAAGACCCTCTATGAGGTGGATTGATTCAGTGACTGGGATAATCTGGATGGGAGTGTCAGAGACAGTGCGATTGGCACAGGACAGAAGAAGGGTTTAGGGCTGTTGTACATAGGGTCGCTATGAGTCACAAGTGACTCGATGGCACATAACAACAATAACAACTGGTGTTAACTTTTGATCACTGTTCTACCAGTTTTCTCTATTTTATTTTATTTTTTTAGCTTTCTCTATTTCAAAATTACTATTTTTTCATTGTTGTTGTTATTGCTCTGCACTGTTGAGTTGGAGCTGACTCATAACTGACCCTCCTGTAGATTTGTAGAGGTTTTAAATTGCACAGGAGGAGATTGTCTATCTTTATCTTACAGAGCAGTTGGTGGACTGGAACTGCCTGACTTTGGGTTGGCAGAGCAACTCCTTACCACTAGGCCACCAGACATCCCTAGTTTTTCCTTGTGGTTGCTAAGTGCTGTCAAGCTGAGTATGACTTATAGAGACCCTATGGACAATAGATCTTAACTCTGTCCCACACTGCACCATCCTTACCATCCTTGACACATTTGAGTCCATTGATGAAGATACTGCATCAGTTCATCTCTTTGAGGGTCTTCCTCTCTGATGACCTTTCCAAGCATGATGTCTCTTTGCAAGGAATAGCCTCTTCTAACAACATGCCCAAAATATGGGACATATGGAGCTTTACCATCTTTGACTTCAAGGAGCACTCTTGTTGCACTTTCTCCAAGACATAAGTGCTCTTTTATCAGTCCATGGGATATTCAGTACTCTTCTCCAACACCACAACTCAATCTGTTATCCTTATTCACTGTCCAGCTGTGGCTTGAATCAAGCCATGATGCTCTTCAGGTCTTTGAAGAGATCCCTGAGAGCAGACTTTCCCAATGTTCCCTGGACCCCTCACTGCTGGCACCAAGGGTGTTAACTACGAATCCAAGCAAGATGAAATTGTTGACAATTTTAACCTTTTCTCCATATATCATGATGTTGCCTATTGGTCCAGTAGATTTTTGTTTTCTTGATGTTAAGATGTAATCCATATTGAAGACTGCAGTCCTTGAACTTTTTAAGCAAGTGATTCAGGTTCTCCTCATTTTTAGCAAGCCAGGCTATGGCATGTGGGGAAATACTTAGAAACTATGTAAGAATTTAGTTTTTTTTAAAATAAAATATCATTTAAAAAATTTAACATTCTGATCCATTAATTTTGGCATAGGGAGCTATAGTGGTCTAGTGGGTAAGAGTTGGCTCTCATCTCAATGCCAAATAGTTCAAATCTACCAGCTCCTCCTTGGGAGAAAGATGGGGAATCTCTTCTCAAGAGAGTTACAGTCTCTGAAAATCTGCTGAAGGGTCAAGCCACACGTCAAGTTTGATGCAACAGTAACCAACGACAACAATTTTAGCGTAAAGAACCCTGGTGGTGGTGTGTGTTATACGTTGAATTGCAAAATGAAAGATGGCAGTCTCCTGTCATAAAGATTTACAACCTTAGAAACTAGATGTGAGGTCACTGTGAGTTCAAATGACCTTGACCACAGTGGTTAGTTAATTAGTCAAATTTAGGCTGTGGAGCCCTGGCAGTAGAGTGGTTAAAGGGCACAGCTGCTAACCAGAGGTGGTTTGAACTCACCAGCAGAGCCACAGGAGAGAACTGAAGCAGGCTTCTGTAAAGCTCACCGCCTTGGAAACACTGTATGGAGCAGTTCTGTTCTGTCCTGTAGGGTTGCTGTAAACTTGAACTGACTTCTGGAAGAAGGGATCCGTGGTGGTGTAGTGGATAAAAACTTGGCTGCTAACAAGAAGTTTCACAGTTTGAATCCACCAGTTGCTCTGTGGAAGAACTATGTGGCAGTTCATGTCCATAGAGACTCGGAAATCAGATGCAGCAATTATAATCTGGCTTGTAGGCTTGCTGTGAATTGAAATAATTGTGAAAGCAGTGGGTTTGGGTTTTTTAGTGATTCTTGCCTGACTTGATTGGTACTAAAATGGTTGCCAAGTGATGCTTTTCCTACATCAATCAATTATTTTATCAATTAGAATTCAGTGACAAATAATAACCTTTTCTCTTCCCATTAATACATATATTTTTGTTTTTTTAAAAATCTAGATAATTTTTTTTTAAAAAATCAATGTGGACTTATATATTTTTTTTAAAAAATTACATTACACACATATTTTAGGGCATTATTTTTATCGTAGGAGTATGCAATGAGGGTTGCAGAGTGGATTA